ATGGAAGACAAAATTATATCATCCCCATGAAGTTATACAATAAAATTGAGAATGTCTATACAAAGATATTTGTAGAGAATCAAATATTTATCTATTTTATTTTCATATTTATTTCTTTATTATTTGATATTCAATTAAATTATTTTAAATTATTTTAAATATTTCTAAATAATTAGATTTTTCTAATCCTATTTAAAGTATTTTTTTTACTATTTTAAAAATAAAATAAGTTGATAAATAATTTCAATTGTACGTAAATCGAATTGAAAATAATTATTTTTCACCTATTTTAATTGGGTTTAGATTTTCTTAATCATATTTAAATTATGTTTACTTTCTATTATTTTACAAATAAAGATAAATAGATAAATATTTTGACATATGGTTAAATCTAATTGAAAAAGAATTATATTACTTGTATATACGTGTCAAAATCTAGGTGAAAGACCGCATATATGCGGGTTTATAGGAAAATCATTTATAACCCGTGAAAAAATTAAATTGGAAAAGGTAAAAAAAATAAATTAAATCACCACGTGAAAATAAACAAAATTAGATTGACAACATTGATACTAAGATGGTGTTATTGGAGAATGGATTTACATAGATTCTTAAAATTTTGAAAATCCACCATTATAGAAAAATGAATTTTTAAGTTCTAAGTAAAATCCCTTAATTGTTATTGAAAAAATTTGGGTTTTAATGATTATGCAATTCTAGTAAAATATATTGTTACTTGGACATAAGTTCTTAACAATTTTACTCATTAAACACAACTTTCACAATCTTAAAGATATACATGAGATTTTGAAAATATTTATAATACAAATTTTTTGGTAGATTTATTGAATACATAAAATTATTTCCAGATTTAACAAATCTCTCAACAAATTTGACAAATCTCTTAACTTTTGAAACCAACAAACTCTATTTCAATTTTATTGCCAATAACCTTCCTAAATATAATTATCAGTTACTTTTTTATCTTGGTTTTTTTTTTTCCAAGTAAATTTGATCACGTTTTTTCAAAAATATTTAAATTCATATCTGAAGTAATTTAATTTTTACTACTTCGTTACTCTATTTTTTTAAAAAAATATTGAATTAATTTGCATGTTCCTATTTG